TACAGCACGAAAAGCACCGATATATCGCTTACTAATGAAAATTTCTCAGCAGAACAGAATAAACTGCATTAAAAGCAACAAGAAAAAAAAAGCAATAGTTACATGTATGACGTTGTTCGATTAAAACGACCAATTACTGCATTTGGATATGCAGGAAACTGAGAAATTCAGCAACCTTGACCGATGGCGAACTAATAAGCACAGAAAAATAAGTGCCTAAAGAAAATTGAACGTAATCTCGAGTGCAAGGCAACGCTCACTGTCTCCGGAATCATTGTCGTTACCCAACGGCAGTAAAATTCGTAGCGGTAATAGTGGTAGAGCAGCAGTATTAACACCGTCGTAACAACAATCACCACCAGCAGCAACAGTTTAGGTAACCCACAATCGGCAGCCTAAGGCATGACAATGAAAGTTTAGTTGCCGGAGGGCTTGGTTATCAAAGCACACGAACAGACACAGAAACTGATATTATTTCTTTGCAAATCGGCAGCAAGGAGAAACTTAAATGAGCCAGATTTTATGAAGCATTTGTTAATGCTACGCTCGGAAAGTGAAGCAGACAAACAATGCAGAACCACAACAACTTCTGCTCCAAGTAATTAAATTCACCGACGCTTCAATTAACTTTTCTGCCTCCTGTTGATTCTGACTTTTTCTCGGTGTCATTTGATAGTATTAATTCTTCTTAGCGTTAACTAAAAAATTTTTCCCCCTCACCTAAAGAAGTATTTTTAAAATAAAATTGTCAAAGCGTGTAACATCAGCTTTTGCTCCATTAATCGACACGGTTGCCTTATTTTTAAAAAGAAAAGAAAAATCAAACAGAAACAAAGTTTTTTAAAGAACATTTCAATTTTTTTGTCTAGTTTTTTTGCTTGTACATAATAATTTTTCTACCCTTTATTATTTTATTTGCTGTACTAGTGAAGAATAGTGAATAGGAGCCACAAGAGAAACAGAGGCAACTACATTTGAAAAGATTAAAGACAATCTTTGAAATGAATTATAACAAAAACCAAAACATTTTCGTTTTTCATTGTTTTCTTTTATTCCGTTCTTTTCTTTTCTGTTCTTCATAAGCTCCTCTCTGCTGCTTTGCAATTTATTGATTCAGACGCCTTTTCAGATAGATTTTTTGTTCTTCTCAGCCAATATGTATTTGTAGACACTTTACTTTATTATTATGCTTTTTTGATGGTAACTCCGCATATATATACACAGATACACATATATTTATATACACACACTCACACACACAATATGTATTTATTAGAACAACCTTTTAGTGCGCTCACTGATGCTGTTGAAAGCCGATGCTCATAGCTAAAAAACAGAAACGGCAACAGCATCAGTAAAAAATTATCTCTTTATTCATTGCCTTATAATAAGCAGAAAACGATGAAACAATGAAAAGAAAATAGGATAAAACAAAAAAGAACTAAAGAGTCTAAAATCACATATCATTTTTTCAACTCTTTTTTTCTATTTTCCCTCCGACTTCTCTTCTGCACGGAAATCTGCTCACTGTTTTAATAATCAATCATTA